ATAAATATATATATATATATATATATATATATATATATATATATATATATATATATATACATATATATATATATATATATATATATATATATATATATATATATATATATATTTATATACATATGAATGTATACGTACATATATACATATGTGTGTATAGGAGTGTATGCGAGTAGCTACAAATATTTGAAATATATATATATATATATCCATAACTCGCGAGCACGCAAACATTTTGGCGCACATTTCCGTTAGAAAATGGCAAATGGAAATGCCGAAAGACCAAAAAAAGTTTAGAAAGGAGTGAGAAACATGACACATGCAACGTGAAAGCGGAAGAGACTGTCAGAGCAAGGGTTGCATAGAGGGTAACAACAAATCAACAAGCATGGTATGAAAGTATAGGTTGGGTACTGCTATAGCTAATGGTATTACGAATAGCCCCAACAAAAATTGAATAAACGGTTAGGAGTACAATGGAGTAAGAAAATATTACATTTTAAATATACATATAACAGCTTAACAGTACAGTATTGCAGTATTACATTAAAATATGAAATCAGTATGACAGTATAACATTATATCAATATAACAATGTAAATGTAAATTAGTTTACCATACTACTGTTAGTATTATTAGAATTTATTTCTACTTAAATTTGTAATTTTTATCAATCTCATTTCGCACCACTGTTAATAGGGAGGTTTTCAATTATGTAATTACTTAAACAACCAAATCAAATCCCTTCGCATGTTTTAAGATTCCGTCCTATTGATTACTTTGTACGATGAGCTGTTTGCTACACACACACATATTTGCATATTGCATGGTCTGACTAAATTTTGATTAACAAATGGATGCCGGTACCGGGCCGATGTCGATGTCGATGTCGATGTTTAGATTTGTTTTAATCATTTTTATTACTTGTTAAACATGAATTGCCCACCGGCCACGCGTCAGCTGCACTTTAACACATGTTGTTGTGGGATTTATTTGGTTGACTTTGCGGTTTTTGGTTGTGCTACCAAAAATTAGTAAGCGTCACTGTGGGTTGGTGGGCAAACAGTATTATGGCAAAGTGCAAAAATGTATGTAAGCAAAAGGAAGGTACGGAAGGGAAACCGCAAGATCCTGTACAAAATGTATATCATATTTAACTTGTTGTCTCATAAATCTCACACTGCGTGTTTGGCGAACAGAACTCGAAATCAATTAATGCTCATTAGCTCTTTCAATCTAGAAACTCAAGCACCGGCCCCTTTCATTCCATTGTTGGCCATGTGATCAACGATAAGTGGAGCTGTCGCCAGGGACGGTGCTAAATATACGATGCATAGCCAAAGTTCAATGCAGGCGTCAGTAGCGCTGGTGCCGGATCAAACGTGGCCGATAGT